CGAAGCACCACGTCCTCTTTAGCAGTGCTGCTGCAATCCATTCGTAGCTCTCGTATTAATTCTCAAGCATGCGCAGAGATCATTGCAACCCACTGCAGAATATCAATATAATCTAAACGTATGATATTATGAGAATCTTGCCTTTTGGAGAATGTAAGAGTGCTCCTTCCAGAAATCATCGCCAATAACGTCGAAGTCATGGTAGTGGAAGATGGTTTGGTCAGGCTGGAAATATATACATAAGTACTTATGAACAGCTTTGTAAAAAAACGAAGACATTTTTCTACCTTTCGTACAAGAAGGGATCCCTTGCGATACTTTGCCGGCAACGCATTGTAATCTATCCGAAAGTCGTTACTTAGAAGTTCTTTCTTCTCGCTCGACCTTGTTCCCTGAAACAAGGCCTTTACACGAGAAACATCAAAATTTGAAGTCTATACCATGAGTGTCTTGTGCGCATTGCTCGGATTCAAACCCTGCTCTCGCAACTTCCAAAAGCACGTATTGTTCACGTTGTTAATATGACCTGCAAGCAATACAAACCAGAAACTAAGCAAGCATGCTGGATAGAAGAGAAAGAAAATGTGAACTTACAGTCCACTTGGCGCCAAGCCAAGTAATCTCTAACTGTTGTTTCTGTGGGGTAACACACTGCTCTTGCATCAAAGGCCGGAGCACATTCAAGCTCCCTGTCGTGAAAAAACTTGGGCCACAGCATTACATACTTTGATGTGAATAGCGAAACAGTCGCGGAAATGAGCTCGTTGCTGCAAAAAAAAGAAAAAAAGGGGTAAGCACTGCCTATGGCCACGGTCACTTACCTTGCTTGTTGATGTGCACCCCTTCGAATCAAGAAACTGTACTCGTCGCTGATGCCATAGGCGCAAACGATGTCTGTGTTTTCTTCTAGAATTGCTTTTGCACACTCGTCCATTAGCTGCAAAGCTCGTTCGTCGTTTGGCTTCTGAAACCCATGAAGATCAGCAAATCTGGGAAAAGCAGTCAGTTAGACAACAGCTTCAACAAGAAACGAAAGATTCAAATGCATACTTTTTAAAACCGCGACCATCAATTCGAACAACGATCCAGTTGGCTTGCAAAAACTGCCCTGTCGTAACCCCGAGGTCAACTTTCATCTGTAATGGGAAGTTAGTAACTAGTGGAAAAGTGCAAAGAGAAGCTTACAGGATCTCTTTCAACCATGGTCGGACTCTGCTCAACACCTCTTTGCCTATAGCTTACTAAGTAAGAAAAAAGGCCACGTAAAAATTGCTGCAGCATGCTTGCCTGGCTTTGATAATGCTTCTTTTACTCTGTTCAGCAGTAGAAACTCTAGAAATTAAAGAAACAGTGTTCTAAGCAAAAAAAAGACTTACTTTTTTCTTCTCTAGAATGAAAGAATGCTCCATCCAGAACGCATCGGACGTAATTTCGCCACGCATACTACAGACATCAACCTGTTCTCCAACCTGAAATCTATTCTCAGTCCAATGAAAACTAGAAACCATAACAGCTACGAACCTTTCGTTTGAAGACGAAAGCTCCCATTTGATCGTTACTAGCCTGAAGACCAGATATCCCTGTTTCACGACATCGTTATCGATGAAATAAATACAGAATCAGGACATACAGTTTTCCTGCAGCGAAGATAAGTAGGATCTCACCAGTGAATTCTTCGGATAGCAATACGCAGCTCCAGAGAACACAGGCGTACTCAAGAGATTTGTCTCTGGGAAAAACGAGGGCCAGCTCCTCACGTATAGCGATGTAAAGGATGATACAAGCACCGATACGAGCTTGCTGGAAAAACCACTGATGAGCTAAGCTCTTAGCGAAAGTACGTAAAAAACTAAGAAACCTTTCTCGTCGTCTGAAGAAGGAGGTACTCTCGTGGAATACAAAGCTGGAACAAAAAGAAGAATCGCATTGGATTTGAAGGCAAAGAAAAAAAAGAAAGAAAACCTTCACCTCGATTCATAGATGACTCCATACGCACAAACAATGTCGAAGAAATTCCACACCAGTGTCTTCAAACAATCCTCCACGAGCGCTAGAGCTCGCGAATCATCCCTCTCGACGCCATGACCCTTGAGAAGCCTGCAAATATTTGCCCAATCACTTACAAAGATCGATCGCGCATCGCTTACTCCTTGAAATCCCGGCCTTGGATCCGGACGACGATCCAGTTTCCCGAAGGCAGCGCATCGTCGCTCTCAAATCCCTTGACATATTCATACTTGCTCTGCGCCATAGCTTCGCAAGAACCCTAAAAGGGCAATATTAAAACCCTAGGTAAATATTAATTTACCGTTACTGACTTGTTTTTACATGAATGGAATATTCTCTGGCGGCTTATATCGTTCTCAAGCATGGAGAAAGGAAACCGCCGCCCTGGCGCGGCTGCCTTGAATGCCCCACGAATTTTTACTTACATCTTTTTACAGCGACCTCTCTCCATTTGGATGCGGACGAAACGAAAACGAATCTCTCTTTCACGCTCTTAAAGGAGAAAATAAAAGAAATTTCACGCTCGATGATCCTGATTGATCACGCCGCGCGCTGCCGCATTGTTGTCGTCTCCAGGATTTTCTGGAGCTGCTCATAGATCCCTGAAAAATCAACGACGACGACCATCGCCTGGCGCGTTGGCATTGGAGGCCAAGCGCTGCAACAAAGCCCCAAATCTTTCGAACGATTCGTCCACCTCGATCCCTTCTAATCGATCGAATCGATCGCATCGATCGATCCATCCATCGCTTGTAACATTTCTCTCCTGGGATGGATACCACCAATCTCCCCTGCTTTGGGCTTTTACTGGCTTCGTTAATGCGCCTCGATCCATTCACTGCCGCACGGATCGATCCAATTCAAGCGCGATTTCTTCCTTTCTTTAAGAGAAATTCGCTCCAGCTGTGATTCGACTCCCCCCTCCCCTCCCCTGCTTTCGCGCAGTTCTTCCCTCTTTTTTTTTAACAATCTCTTTCCTTTCTTTTCGTCATGATCGATTGATCGAGCGCTGGGCGCGTATAGCTCCACCGATCGATCGCTGGGCAGCCGGGCATTGTTTAATCGCGCGCACGCCCCCACCCATATGCGCTTGGTGGTTGAAGCGCAGTGATCATTGGGGAGGAAGTCGCGAGCAAAAGAATTTCTCCTCCGGAATTTGTCCATCCACTCGAGAAAACAATGCGCCTTCGATCGCGAGTGGGGGCTACAGTGAAGATTCTCGAGTAAACAATCCATTTGATTTGACATTCTTTTCCACTTTGCTCGTCTCCTCTTAGCTAGCGATCGATCGCGCCAGCCAAAAGCATCCAACTTCTTATACTCCATAACCACTCTTTTCTCTTCCCATTGTCTAGTAGCTCCCCCTCTCTCCACATAGCGTGGGATTTCTAGGAGAGTTCTTCGCGTCTTCTTGATGATCTTCCTCTTCCTCTTCCTCCACTACTCTTGAACTTGGATGATCTGGGAGCGCTGGAAGTCACGATGCCGGCGTCGCCAATCTCATGCGCGGCCGCGATTTCTTTCCTGGTGTGGATGTGGATCATCGTCGCCATCTCCGGGCAGCAGGACGAACAGAGCATGGATCCCGCGGAGAAGGAAGCCTTCTTCCAGGTGATGGAGTCTCTAAACTCCGAGTGGGATTGGAGGAGCTTGCTCCCGGATCCTTGCGGTGAGAACACGCTCCAGGGGATGATCTGTGACGTCGTCGACGACGCGAATTCTAGCTTCCCCAATTCGATCCATCTGGTGGGCTTGAGCGTGGGGAAGATCCAGAGCAACACGCCCTCTTGCAGCGCCAACGCGACAATCCATCCCTCCATCGCCAAGCTCTCCCACCTCAAATCCCTCGCATTCTACGGCTGCTTCACGAAATCCCCCGCTATGATCCCCGCCTCCATCGCCGCCATCGCCACTCTCTCCACTCTCACCTTCCAAAACAATCCCGCGCTCCAGGGACCAATCCCTGCCGAGCTCGCCAATCTGCGCAACCTCGAGCGCTTGATCCTGGTCGGCAACGGCCTCGCAGGAGAGATTCCAGCCGAGCTGGGCGATCTCACGTCGCTCCAGCAGCTCGTCATCAGCCAGAATCCGGGGATCCTGGGCGCGCTGCCAAGAACCCTAAAATTTCTCTCCAGTCTCGTCATCCTCGACCTCAGCCACAACGCCCTCGATTCCATCGCCAATCTCTCGCTCGCCGGCCTCGATCGCCTCCGCAAGCTCGACCTCAGCAACAATCGCATCAATGCGACGCTGGGATCGCTGGAATCGCTGCCGCCGGGGCTGGAGCTCCTGGATTTGAGCCACAATCTCTTGCGAGGAGGAAGAGAGGGGAATTTCCTCGAGCCACTGCTAGGGCTGGCGACATTGCGGGAGCTCTACCTCCACAGCAATCCAATCCAGGGGGCGATTCCATCGATCGGGTGGGAGCGACTGGGGGCGAGCTTGATCAGCCTGGACATCTCGGATTCCCAGCTCCGCGGCGCGATTCCCAGCAATCTAGGCGCGCTCCCGAGCTTGCGGTTTCTAGGGCTGGCCAGGAATGAGCTCACGGGCGCCATCCCGCGCGAGCTCGCGCGCCTGGACCAGCTCGCGGAGATCAATCTCAGCGAGAATTCGCTCGCTGGGCCGGTGCCATTCTCGATCGATTCCATCACGCGATTCGGCAGCAAGCTCAAGCTGGGCAACAACACTGGACTGTGCTATCCTCCCCAAATCCTCTCCATGATCCAGCAGAGCTCTTCTTCCTCGCTTTCCTCGCAAGGAATGCTGGATCCTTGCGACAAATCCACGCTGCCAGTGGCATTCCAAGTAGGAAACTATGCGCCGTCGCCATCCTCTTCGATCATCGCTCGCGGATCATCCACTTTTGGTGTGATCATCGCTGCCACCTTCGCCACCTTCTTCGTCCATTCGCATTAGTATATCAAAAGGTGGTGGACCGGTGGCATAGATTTTCTTTTCTTTGTAAATGACTTTTTTTTGCAAAAAAAATATTTTGATATGGTTAGGAAAGAACGATGTCGTTGTATCATGGAGTTAAGAATTATAAGCGCCATGATCGATCGTTCCATCCACTTTCGCCACCTTCTGTCACCTTTTTCCATTGTTTAGCGCTTGTTTGTTTGTTGGGCGGTAAGGTTGGCATGACAGGAAAAACAACCAAATTGGATGCCAGTGAAGAGATACACGCTTGCACACTGAAGCTGCGTTTGTCCTTGTTAGTACACACCATAGAAAACTTAAAAGTGGTGAAAGTGAGATCTCACATACCTTCATGGATCGTTATTCTAACACTTTGAGCATTCTTCTCAGTAGCGATGAGCACACACTGGGCTTTGTCAATGGGCCACACATGAAGTAGACCACATTTCCCAGTGGTCGAGTGTAGATCCCAAGCTCTTGGCGAAGTTCCTTCACGACGCCGCTGGAGAGTAGCGAGCTATAGCCCTTTTGGCTTGATGAGGTTGATCGCAGCTCTAGCGCCATGAGCGTTCCCAGAGAGATCACTCTTTCCACGGAAGAACGGCTTGATATCTCGGCCACCAGCTCTGGATCCCATTGCTGGCACCGGCGAAAGTATTAGTTCTTTAGAACACGGAAAGTTATAACCGCTAACCTCCTGGAGACGACTTGTGCCAGGCAATAGATTTGGATTCTTGGACGGGTCCTTGAACCATTCCAGCGCTGTAACAGCGGCAGAGCAGCCGACCGGATGTGCCGTGTAGGAATGACCATGCAAGAGAGCATCGAGCTGCGGTTGTGAAGCTTTCTTTCAGAACAGATTCATTGAAGAGAAAATTTTACGTACCTTGGACGCCCCTTCAAAAGCTTGAAATATGTCTTGAGTGGCGAGAGTAGCTGCTAGAGGAACAGTTCCTCCAGTCAAAAGCTTGGCATAGCAGGCAATGTCTGGCTTGCATCCTAAAAGCTCCCAAGCAGACTTGCACGCAAATAGACGTTCGTCAAAAAAACCAAACTTCAGAAAAAAACGAGAAAAATTTGAAACGATATGCTACCTCGGCACCAAGTCGCCAACATCCAGTGAACACCTCGTCAAAGATAACTGGGATTTTGTGACACTTGCATTGCTGTGTAAGTATGCGCTGGAACAAAGGATCCACGAGCTCCATTCCACCAGCAGCGTGGATGACTGCAAACGTCACGATGAGATTTAACACATGTTCCAATTTGTCTTACTCGGCTCGATGATGAGACCGGCAATTGTTTGTCCGCCTAAACTGCCTTGGCTACTCATAATCTCCTTCTCTATCGCGGACGAGTAGATCTTAGCCAGCTCCGTATTATCCCTTCCCAAAGCAAACACGTCTTCTCTGGCATCCCATGCAAGTTCTGCCATTCATCGTAAAGAATAATCAGCAAGGACGAGATAAACAGATAGCAGTTTACCAGTTGCTATAGTGCCATATCTTTCTGGCACCCGCAATTGCCATTTCCTGTTTTGGCAGCACACGGTCGGTGGATCTAAAAAGACGCCTCTTCCGGAATACCTGTTGTTCAATCATCAAAGCAAGCATGCGCATAGATTATTGAAACCCAAAAGGAGCTAAAAAAGTAAGAAGAATACCAAGGTTGCTGCGAAAATCCTGTGTAAGGAGATGGCGCTTGCGCTTCCATTGCTCCCAAAGTGTCTCCATGATAGGAGCCTCTGAGTGCAAGAACCTGAGCAGCACAATCGGCAAAATGATAAACACAACGAAACTTTAGAGAAGATTACCTTGAAGTCCGGTTTCTTATCTCCTTGATTTGTTAGAAAGCCATGATCAACAGCATATTTTCTCAAAGCCATTTTGAGAGCAATTTCAGTAGCGGTCGATCCATTGTCAGAAATATAAACTCTATGTGCCCAGCCTTGAAAAAATAAAAGTTTCGTAAGATATAATTAAGCCAGAGCAGTGTTTACCTCGTCCAACGCCTTGGAGTAGTAATTCAGCACAGCGAAGGCCAGGCTCGTGGACATTTTCGGGGAACATAACGTGACCATATCTGCCCGCAGCATACGCAATTTGTTTCGCAAGCTCATGCTGGAGTCTCAAAAATTCAAACGCGTCTGTTAGACGAAGGCAGACTGGTGTGTAATGATTAGAAGAGCTTTGGAAAAACTCAAAAACTTACCTGCAGTGATGCATCGGGCCCCTGCGTCCACCAGCTTGCACAAGCATCAAACTGCTGAGCAAAGCGGCCGTGTTTATTCTGGCACAGTTTGAAAAGTCAGTACGCAACTAAAAGAAAGCAGTATAATACAAACCTCATAAACTGAAAAGAATTCGCCCGATCGAGAGTCTATAACCGTCACGTTCTCCTCGGGCACCAATCTATGCTGCGTGAAGGGCCACCAGAGAAGCTCCGATGCTTTTTTGGGCATCTCACGCAGCCTTTGTATTCGCTTATGGTACGCATCTTCGAGCAGTGACACCACTTGAACGAACGTACTGCTGGTGTCGTGAAACCAGCCCGCAAGATCGTCACCTGGATTCTTTGGTACGGCAGGGATCACAAAGACCGGCACTCTGACGAGCTAAACTAGCATCGGAATCGCATGGTATGGAAGATATACCTGTTATGGAGCTGTTTGGACAGATGCTGATTGTTTCCCAGTCCCATGTCCTGAATTACAATGCAGATTGTCTCGTATCCTCGCAAGAGAAGGCTTTCATACGCCGCTAGAGTAGTCGATATTCCTCCTAGCCTTCCATCTCCGACTAGAATTCCAGGTAGTCGAAGAGGCCTGTCTCAAAAAGAAAAGCGAAAAACCAAAAAGGTTAGTGATTTCTCACAATATACTTCTTACTACCTGTAAAGATCGCACTGCAAAGTTCCTGAGGGAGCCGGACTCGCAACACCACCCGCGGTCTCAACGAAAGCCCAGCTCCGTCCCGTTTGAGACGCGCCAGCGCCGAACTCCCACAGCGAGCTTCGCAAAACTTTTCGCAGCTCGTCGTCGCTAGCACCGCCACCTTCCTGCTGAGCGGCCAAGTGTGGAGAAACAGCCGCACACCAGCTCCACAGCGTCTCGCAAGTCAGACTGGAGGAGCTTTTCACTGAATTCGCAGAGTTTTTCCAGGAACCCGAGGAGTCTGTGGATCTTTTCGTCAATGCTGCCTTTTTGGAAGCCTCATCGGACAGCCACATTGTCCGGTTGGAGAGAAAGATGCTCTCGCTCCTCCCGACGAGAGAATCTATCCTCTGCGTCACAGACCTGGCGTCGGAATCATCTGGAAATCCCGTCTGGACGGGCTTCACATAGAGGACATGCGATTTCTGGCTCTTTCCGGGCGAAAGAAGCGCTGCCGCCATACCAGTGGAGACGAGCGTCTTGCCGACGTCGGTGTTGCATCCCCAAACCATGAATGCGGGGTAGCGCGCATCGATCTCACCGAGAAGAGCATCCTCGCGGCGCCGCGCCGCGAAATCCTCCGCCGATGGCAGCGCCTGAGCTGAGGAGAAGCATCGTACATGGCCGGCGGCGCTGGATCGCCGGCCGAGGCGACGCCACAGGGCCAGGAGCAGCATCGCGACGAGCAGCCCTGTTTTTAGGGCACTTGTGAAGAGCCCTAATTTTTAAAAAAAGTAGCGAGATTTACCAGCTCGCGGGAATGTGGAGAGGCGCGGTCAAAAGCTAGAAAAGAGTCTTGTCCGCAAGCTATGTATGACTGAGATTTGTATGTATTCTTTGTTTTCCTCGTCTAAAAGCATGGTTGGATGGATGGATTTTTTGGCATGTGAAGTGATGAGTGAAAAATTTGACAAGGTTTTGTCGCTGTCCCTCGCCAACTTTTTCCTTGGGTGTTGGCCCATGCTGCACGTTGAATGGCGAGCAAAAGTGGTTCCCCGGCTACAAATGCAAAATAGGAAAAGGAGAAAGATATATTCACGAAATCACCAATAATCATCATTTGGATGAAATATCTAACACTACTAAATTCCCAAGGCACAGATTTTTCCCACTCATACACGGAGCTTTTGCTGCAAATCCGAAATCATAGTTTCATATCACTGGTGGAAGAATTCCAGAGCGTGCAGAAGCAAAGATGCTGTCCCTAGCTTAAAAACACAATTGGGCAGATCAAGTTGGTGTGTTGTTGATCTGATTTGTCGTCTGATTAGGCGAGAAGGTGGGGTAATAGCAAAATCATAGTTGCATATCAGCTGTGGAAAGAACTCCAGAGTGTACAAGTTATGTCTAGCTTGAAAATACAATAGCAGGTCAAGTTGTGTGATTTGTCACCTGATTATGCAAAGGCAGGGTAATACGAAAACATTATATGCCTTTGCAGGTTGGCAGCAAGCAAGGAGTAGCGCGTAGCGTGCGCCGTGTTTCCGGATTTAGGAGTGGAACTCTTCATCATCATATCCCCTCTGTTAGTTGAAAAATCGATTGCATTCCTGCTTCTGCATTCTGCTTTCTGCGTTCTGCTTCCGTTCTGTTTTCTGCCTGTGGCTGGTATGGTAGAGCGATGCGATGCAAATTCTCTCGCAAAAATACTGAGCAGCAGAGCGGGTGAGAGAGACAATTGTTTTTGTAAGCTAAGAAAGATTCGTTCTGCACCAGATTTCTGAGCGCCAGTCCCCAAACAGACAGAGACAAGCATGCATGCCACACAAAGTTTTAATCGTAAGATTTGCGCCTTTTTTCAGTACTATACTGTGTTTTGGTGAAATGGCGGATCAGAGGAGACGGGAGGAGATATGCCCCCTTAAAAACAATCCCCGCTTTGCGTGTCTCGTCCCAACTCAAACTTAGTTGTATCGATGTGAGTGTTGCTCCCAATTTTTAGGGTTGGCGCTGCATGTGCGCCGGGCATATTAGATATTCCCATACATTAGCTTCCAAGGTATAGAAATTGGAATTAATCCGCGAGAGAGATTTCTGGTGTATAGAGTCTTTTTCTTTTCGAGGAGACCCGTGAGTCTCTCTCTGTAGGATGTTGGTCGAGAGATGGAGACATACGGGGGAAATAAAAAAAACTTTAACCTTTTCACCCATTTCACCCGTCAAGTGTAAAAATTTCCTGGCTTTGTTTATGAGGGGATTGATGTTGTAAGACCAGATTACGAGTAACCACGCTTCGAAAATGGCGCTGATGTGGCGGGGTGTCCCCCAGAGGAGGGGCAGGGTGACGTGGCGATGCGATCCTCGTCCACTGGCCCCGCCCATTCCGATCCGGAATGGCCCGCGCCAGTGGGCCAGTGACATTCCAGATTCCAGAACTGTGCCAGGCCAGGGCATAATGCTGTGGTACTGTGGGACACTGAGGAAAGAAAGAGAGAGAAGGGCTCTTTCTTCTTCTTCTACTCCATTCTCTCGAGGAAGGAATTCTTCTTCTCACTCCCCTCTCTCTTTCTTTCCGGTTTTGGGGTTTTCGATCGAGACGGAGCATCGATTGGATCAATCGGCGCGAGCATGCGAATGCGCATGCAGCAGCGGCGGCGAGCGATTCGGCAGCGGCGAATGCGAATGCGGCAGGACGAGCAGCAGCAGCAGCATTGCCTGGGCTCTCAACCTCTTCTCGGATTTGTAAGCGAGCGCGCAGGGAGCGAGCTAGGATCGCAAGATAGAGGGAGCTCGCGATTGGTCGATCGCTGGATGCTTTAAGGCCAGTGCCTGGATCGTCTGGGAGAGTGACAGATCAGGGCAGCCACCCCCGGCGCTCGATCGAGCATCAAGAGCATTGATTGAGCGGCGTAAAGAGAATGCCGCGGCACCGTTGAGTGTTCTTGGGAGGCATTTAAGAGAAGAACTGGCATAGCAGCGCGCGATGCTAGAGCTCGCAACGAATTCATCAAAGGTATGCTACTACATTCTTACATTCCTTACATTCCTCTCTCTCTCTCTCTCTCTCTCTCTCTCGCTCTCGCTCTTGTTTTCTCTCTCTCTCTCTCTCTCGCTCTTGTTCCCTCTCGTTCTAGTCTTGTGATCATCGCGATCGATCGACCGACTTTAACGCCTTTTCTCCTCCTTTCCAGGAATGACGAGCGTACCTGGTCCGTAGAAAAGCTGTTTGATCGATCGAGCCGCGGAAGAAAAGGAGGAGTTCCAGCTCCACGAACACGGAGGAGGAGCAAAGATGATAAGTCTCCATGATCTCTACACCGTGCTGAGCGCCGTGGTGCCACTCTACGTCGCGATGATCCTGGCCTACGGCTCGGTGAGGTGGTGGGGGATCCTCACGCCGGAGCAGTGCGGCGGGATCAATCGCTTCGTCGCCATCTTCGCGGTGCCGCTGCTCTCGTTCGAGATCGTCAGCAGCAACAACCCCTACGCCATGAATCTCAAGTTCATCGCCGCCGACATCGTCCAGAAGCTCGCAATTCTCGCCGCGCTCGCGCTCTGGGTCAAGTTGTCGCGCCACGGCAGCCTCGAGTGGCTCATCACCTTGTTCATGCTCGCCACGCTTCCAAACACGCTGGTGATGGGAATTCCACTCCTGGCAGCCATGTATGGAGCCAAGCCCGGTGGATTGATCGTCCAGGCGGTGGTGCTCCAGTGCGTCATCTGGTACACCTTTCTACTCTTCCTCTACGAGTACCGCAGCGCGAAGTTGCTCATCCAAGAACAGTTCCCCGACACCGCCGGATCCATCATCTCGTTCAAGATCGAGTCGGACGTGGTTTCGCTCGACGGCCGCGAGCCGCTCCAGACCGACGCCGAGGTGGGCGACGATGGAAAGATTCACGTCACCGTGAGGAAGTCGGTGTCCTCGCACCACTCCATGCTCTCGCCGAGGAGATCCGTGGGTCTCAGATCCATGCCGTCGTCCAAAGCGCTCACACCCCGGCCCTCCAACCTCACCGGAGCGGAGATTTACTCGATGCATTCGTCGCGGAACTTGACTCCGAGAGAGTCGAGCTTCAACCGGAATGACTTCTACTCGCTCATGAGCTTCACCAACATCCCACCACCGCGGCAGTCGAATTTCACCAACACGGATGTCTACTCGCTCCACTCGTCGCGCGGTCCGACGCCGAGAACCTCCAACTTCAACGAGGAGAACTCGCGAGCTCTCAACAATGCCGCCGCCGCCTCGCCGTCACCTCGCTTCCCGCTCTACAACAGCAGCAGCTCCATCTTTCCAAAGCCCGGCGATGGCGGCTTTGGATTCTCTCCAAAGCATCACCACGGAGGAGAACTCCGCGCTTCTCCAAAGCTCGTCCACAACAACAGGTCGGCGGTAGCGGCCGAGGATCCAAACGCCAAAGATCTCCACATGTTCGTGTGGAGCTCCAGCGCCTCGCCAGTCTCGGAAGCTCATCCGCAGCACCAGCAGCAGCAACACGGTGGTGTTCTTGGTGGCTATGGTGGAACTTCGGACTATACTGCCACCACCACCACGAACAACAACATTAATGGAGGAGACTTGAAAGAGAGACTATCGCCACTCGCTCATCAATCCGGTAAGCAAGCTTCACTCTTTCATCTGCTCTTCGCATCCCCGGCTTGCTCGAAGCAGTGCTTGCAGCCAGAAACGTTACGTAGCTCTCGTGATTTATAAGCATTTCCCGGCTTGACTTTGTGGACTCGTGTTGTCTTGCAGTTCCGGGCCGACAGTATGACGAGTACGATCGAGACGACTTTAGTTTTGGCAACAGGCCGAGCTTCCGCGGGGATGAATCCATGATCGCGGATAAAGAGGGGCCAAGCCTCACCAAGATTGGATCCAGCTCCACGGCGGAGCTGGCTCCGAAAGACGGCGACAACAAGGCCGAGATGCCTCCGGCTCGGATTATGACGAGGGTGATACTGAGCATGGTGTGGCGAAAGCTTGTTCGCAATCCCAACACTTACTCGAGCTTGATTGGAGTTATCTGGGCTCTCATCTCGTTCAAGTAAGTTAAATCTTTTTCTCGTTCTTCCGGAGATCTTCTCAAAACCTCTTTTTTTTTTCTTCGTTTTTCTAAGGTGGCACATCGAAATGCCTGTGATCGTCGACAAGTCCATCACAATTCTCTCCAGAGCTGGCCTGGGGATGGCTATGTTCAGCTTGGGTGCGTGAAGATCATATGTTTTCTTTCTGGAGAGTTTTTGACGATTGTTCTTCGCGAGCAGGACTTTTCATGGCTCTCCAGAAGAGACTTTTGGCGTGTGGAACTTCTCTGGCGATCTACGGCATGGTGGTGCGATTTCTCACCGGCCCGGCGGTCATGGCGGCCGCGTCCATCGCCTGTGGACTCCGGAGTGTGGAGCTCAAAGTCTCCATCGTCCAGGTACGTTTCAAGCGCTCGCAAAAAGTTTCAATCACTGGAAAGGATTTCTAACTTTTCTCTCCTCCATCTTTTTTCTTGTAGGCCGCACTGCCTCAAGGAATCGTGCCTTTTGTTTTCGCCAAGGAGTATAATGTCCATCCCGACATTTTGAGCACCGCGTAAGCCTCGGTTCCTCCCTCGCTTTTTTTCGGATCTTTGCGTGAAAATTCGATCGCTTTGCTCATTCTTTGCTCATTTTCTCGAACTTTTCTTTTTCTACAGGGTCATCTTCGGCATGCTCGTGTCATTTCCAATCACTCTCTTGTATTACGTGCTCTTGGGTCTGTAGTGCTTCGTGGATTTTCTATCTTGGAGAGAGAGAGAGAGAGAGAGAGAGAGAGAGAGAGTGGCAAACAAGAGGATATTTGAGAGGAAGAGCTGAGAAATGGAGATACGGCGAGCATGGAAGCTTTCTTTCTAGCTCTAATCCTATGTAGAAGAACAAAGCTTTCGATTTTATAAAAACAGAGGTTTCTCGAAAATGTGGCATTAGGGTTTGAGGATTAGGGCGGAGGGGGATCCGCGATGGCGGCACGGCGCCTGATTCGGGCGCTTCGTCCCGCGGCACTTCGATTCTCCAATTCCCACTTTCTCAGGTACTCCGATCGCGCAATGCTCCGGTTCTAGCTTCTCGATGACTGAATTTGGGATTGCAGACCACCGGAGAGCTGCTGCTTTGATGCGCAATCCTTGTTCAGGTAGACTTGCGCATTGGAATGGAATCTCTCTTGAGCTGCTCCATCGCTTGAATTTTATTTTTTCTAGATCGACGAACGCGATCGCGGTTCAAGCATGGAAGCCGGCGTCGTTGGTAAGTAGCCAGCTTTTTGGAACGCTTTGATCTTTCTGCGAGAAAAATAACCAGTTTTTTTTGCCAGTCAGTGCCCGGAATTCGATGCTTTGCCTCTGGCGGTATGTGCGATTTTTTTGGTTGCTTTTTCCTTTACGAGGGATTCCATGGATGATTTATTTTCTCAGAGCCTCCCGCTATCGTTCTCGGAATGCCCGCGCTTTCTCCCACTATGGTATGGAGTTTTTCTTTAGTTTGATACTTTGAGGTATTTACCGAGGTGATTGTGCAGACACAGGGAAACGTTATACAGTGGAAAAAGAAAGAGGGTGACAAGGTACTCAATAGCAAATCTTTGCTACTGGTCAGTTCATGCTGTCCTTATACCACAGGTGTCCCCGGGAGATGTTCTGTGCGTGATAGAAACTGACAAGGCTACTGTCGATTTCGAGTCTGTGGAGGAAGGGTGCGTACGTGACCTGTTAAGAGTCTTACGTTTCTTACAAACTCCATGCAGATTTCTAGCAAAGATCCTGGTCCCGGGGGGCACAAACAACGTTTCAGTTGGTCAGACAATCGGAGTTATGGTAGGCTTTTAAGTCTTTATAGCAGAGTCAACTGAGCAGTATATGCTTGCGTACTAGGTAGAGGACGCGTCTGATATCGGTAAAGTGTCGAGCAGTGATTTTGCTGCTCCCCCGGCAGCCAAAAAGGAAGCACAGCCCTCATCGAAGCCATCGTCCACAGCACAGCAAGCCAACGTCAAGCCTCCCCCAGCATCGAACTTGCCGCCGCACATTGTTCTTGGGATGCCAGCATTGTCTCCAACTATGGTATGCAGTTTTCTACCGATATCGAGGCAAATAAACTAGTTTAATACTCGTGCAGACGCAAGGAAACATTGTGGAATGGAAAAAAAAGGAAAGAGACAAGGTAATACTTTAGCCTTCGTGTTTCATCCGGTCAGTCTTTAATAAACTACACAGGTCTCCGCGGGGGATGTTCTCTGTACAATAGAAACGGATAAAGCAACAGTGGATTTTGAGTCGGTGGAAGAAGGGTATGTCCATCGTTTCTACGCCTCTTCTTGTTTTCTTTACACTGACCTAAGAACTGTTGTTTATTTTCAGGTTTTTGGCTAAGATAGCATCTCCTTCAGGATCGAAGAATGTGCCGATTGGTCAAACTATCGGAGTCATGGTACGTGATTCCACTCCTTGTAGGTTCTTATTGTGTTTCTCCAGGTCGAGAATGAAGAAGATATTGCGAAAGTAGCTGCTGCTGATTTTAGTGGTCAGCCCTCTGCCACAAAGACCGAGGGAAAACCACAGGCAGATGCTCCTAGCAAGGTTTCCGTGATGTCCAAACCTCCAGCAGCTGCTGGTTCTAAGGCTTTGTCAAGAGTAGGCCCATCAGTAAGAAGGTTACTTGCTGAAAGCGGGTTGGATGCTTCATCCATAAATGGTACAGGTCCTCGGGGGGTGGTTTTGAAAGGTGATGTTTTGGCTGCCATTAAAGGTGGCACGAAACCTGGGAAACCTCCAAAGGATGCTAAGTCTCGCCCGTCACCTCCCACGTCTTTGGATTTTGAGGATATACCCACTAGTCAGATCAGAAGAGTAAGTTATTCTTGGTTTGGTTATTTCGTCACAGCTTTTCTCGTGACCATCTTACTGTAGATCATTGCGAAGAGGCTGATCGAGTCCAAGTTTGGTATTCCTCACTTCTACATATCTGCTGGTCAGTCAGTCACTTGTCTGGGAAAACTCTTTAAGATTGGAGCTTATTGTGTATGTTTATGTGCAGACGCGATTCTTGATTCGACATTGTTGTTAAGAAAAGAGATGAAAGGTCAGTTGTTCAGTTCGCCTTTGTGTTTGTGCTCATTCGTTTTCCTTTTACAGAGAAACATGGTGCTGCTGTTTCGGTTAATGATTTCGTGATAAGAGCGACGGCTCTTGCGTTAAGATCCGTGCCCGAAGCAAATGGTAAGACGTGGTTCTTTTTCAAAGTCTTATGACTTCCGGGTGTAATGTTTTTCAGCTTTTTGGGATGAGAAGGCTGGAGAGATAGTTTTCCACAAAACAATAGATATCTCCATAGCAGTTGCTACTGATAAGGTACGAAAATATTATTTTGATCCAAGTTTTAACTCCGATTGTGTGCTGTGTTGCAGGGCTTGATTACTCCAATTCTAAAGAATGCGGATTTGAAGACTTTGTCTGCAATCTCGACGGAGGTAAGATCCTTTAACTCAACGTCACTAGTTTCTGAAATCCTCGTGCACTGTCAGGTGAAAGCTCTTGCCGAAAGAGCAAGAACTGGGAAGCTGAAACCTGAGGAATTCCAAGGAGGCACGTTCAGGTTGGCTATGTGCTATGAAATTTTTTGAGGGATGGCTAATGGTTTAAATCTTAACAGTATCTCGAATCTTGGAATGTTCCCTGTGGACAGATTCTGTGCTATTATCAATCCACCCCAGGTACGACTATAAGTTGCTATTAATCAACCATCAATTTATTGTTTAATTTCAGGCTTGCATTCTTGCTGTTGGCAAAGGCGAGAAAGTCGTTGTCTGGGAAGACTGTTCGGAAAGCGGAGGAAGGCCACGTACCGTGACCAAGATGGGCATGACTTTATCGGCAGACAACAGAGTTTTTGACACCACAATCGCAGGTAAGAGCACTCTGTTCTTTCTTCCTTCACGTAATAAATTACACTTCCCTCCATTCAGGTCGGCTGCTAGAGGCTCTCTCAGCCAATTTGCAGGACCCCGAGAGGATGCTGCTGTAAAAATCCTCGTCAGGAAATTTTTGTTTTTGGATCACGACGGGGGTGATGGTGTAAATTCAATAAGGAAGGAACGTGGTGGCCGGGCTGCCGTGGACAATTGAGACACGCAATAAACGGCTGCCACCGCGATGCGTTCCACGTATTCTTTGACAAAGCAGCGATGGGGAAGGTTGAACGAAGATGGCCTTTTGGATATATATATTCACAGGAAAGGCAGAGAAGCACAGGGGTTACAGGACAGAGAATCAGCAGAGATGAAGCAGGCAGCAGTACTTCTGGTAGTTCTTCCCGTGATCTTGGTGCTCTCGCTGTCCAGCATGGTTCCATGGACTACTGCAGCGGGGAATGCCAGTATCTCTCCCGAGTGTGTGAAGTATGCGAGCGAAGTGGCCGGCTGCATCGATTTTTGCAGCTCTCCCGGGGTGGCTTGCTTCGTGAGCTGCTGCACACAGTACGAGAACAATCCTCTCTCGGCGTCCTGCTTCTGCAACACCGGCTACTCCAGTTACAAGACCTCCTCCAACTTCACTCGAGTCGCGAGAGAATGTAAGTCGGAGTTTTGTGGGACGTCATCATGAGTAAGTTCGTTCTTCTCACTCGTCAAATAAAGCTTACAAACTTTGCAGAGCTTCAAACCCGTGTTCTTTTCTCTCTAGCTATGTACACTTCTCTTTTCTCTGAGAGGAGCTTTTCTACGCTGCTAGACGGATTCTTGGCTCTCGTGAGCAACTGCTGCTCGGCTTAGCTTCTTTGTGGATGAT